TAAATATAAAAGCTTTTTATAGTTCAGTCTAGATTATAATTTATAATTTTAGAACTTACTGAAATTTTTAAAGCAATATTTAATTTTTTAATATTTTGTCAACTGTTTATTAGATAGTTCTATATTTGATATTTGTCAGTTAGCAACTGCATTTAATATATAATATTATAAACTGTGAATTCTGGATCATTCTTGAGTTTCTCTGATTTCTTTTTTAGAAACTCATATCTTCAAGATTGATTATCTTGCCATGTTCAAAATCTATAAGTAAATAATTCCTTGAGTATTTATTGATTTGACATTTTTTAAAGTTGCTTAAAATAACAATTTGCTTCTAATGAGCTATTGTACTTTATAATTAGACTTTTGTATATTGCATATTTAATGATAAAGTCATCTCATATTGAACTTATGTCCATTGAGTGTATACACTAATGGACCAGTTATATCATTTTGGATTAAATCCAGAATGAGCCGAGGTCTTATGATTTTTTTAGATTGAAAATAGCAATCTGAACTGGGATTGACGTGTCAAATTCAGTTCTGATCATAGATTAATTCGACCTGAATGGAGCTTTAGACATGGTTTCATCTTAAAATTCCAAAGGCCGCAAAACTCATAAAATTGATATCTAAACATATTTGATATCTACTTCACTAATTAATATGAAATTTCGTTTCAAAAATCAATTTAAAGTAAATTATCCATTCATATTAATGTCAAATTTAACGTTTGCTGTGTTATTTGTACAAGATTATGATTTTTTTTGATTTTTTTATGACTTGTAAGAACTGTCTGTAGGCTTCCCATAAACTGAAAATGAAACGAATCACGTGATTAGTCTTATAAGAAATAGAACTATAGAATTTTTATGGCAAAAAAACTTGCACGTATTTAAAGACACGTAAATATGTTTGTAAAAACTACTTTAATAGGAAATTATCGATAATTGACATTCCAATTTTCATCATCAGAATCTTCCATCAACCACGCATCATCAAAAACCCTCAACATTTCAATACTATATTTTGGCACGTGTTGATCTTCCAGAATCGTCACAGCATTCGTTTCATTTTTATTTAATCGTTGCTTTTTACTTGTTGGATCTCGTTTTTGTTCTCGTTCTTTGCGTTGTCGTTCGATATTTTTGTTCTTTTCATAGAAAATCCGTGCAGAACGATGTGCAGAACGCATTTTCTCGCACCTTTGCATTAATGTATTTGTGCAACTTAATAGACGTTGAAGAGAGGAGTGGAAATCGTTGGTAAGTATTAAAGTCAAGAAATGTGCGTCAATAAGTAGCGTTAAGAATTCAATGATCTATAAAGAAAAAATTTTTTAGTAAAAGTTAATCAAAAGGTTTTACATATCAGTTTTAGCTTACCGTAGAAAATCTAGGTGCGGAAATTTGTAGTTGCATAATTTTAGACCTATCGCTTGAATCTTTAATAGTTCTATTTTCATCAAACATTCCACTGTCGCTTAAATCATTATTCAGGTTACTGCCATTTATATATCCATCTAGCCATGTACATGAAATCTCAAATAAAACAAGTAATTCATCAACCTTCAATTGTTTCAGATGTAATTGCATCAAATTTTTTTGACGTTTAACTAACATTAATTTTGGAAGAAAATATTGTAACAGTGACGATGAAGAAGACAAACTTGAAGCATCACCATTAATTTCAATGAATTTCTTAAATCCCTCATCAACTTTTGATGTTTTCAGTAACATTATCAAATGCTGAAGCAAAAAAACCTGATCTTTTTCTGGAATATCGCGACTAAATTGCAAGAGTAAAGATACAGACTCCTAAATTTATTTAAAAGGAATAGAATTAATACAAAGCTTTATACAAAGATCGTGACTATTAAAATAAGGATTAATTAAATGACTAACCCAATCACCTCTTTCGATCAAAGCTTTCATAAGACCACCTTTTATTATTGAGTTTGGCAAAAAATTGTTTTTTATCAGATACTGGACAACTTTTATTGGGTAGAACTGAAGATTTGGTTCCCCTTTAGAGAGCCGTCCAAAGCAGCGATTTAATATTTTCTCAATAAAATATAGGGAAATTTCGATTTTTGGTCCATTCTAGGATAAGTCAAAAGTTTCATGATTTTTATTGGTCAATAATATAGCTACGTCAAAGTCAATTACAAACATAAGTGAATCATATGAAGTAGTCGTACCTCTCCAAACGTTTTTATCAATTCTGTGTATTTGATTTTTTGATTTTTGGTATTATTTAATAAGTTTGTGTTATGTTCCTGTGTAATATCTGACATGCCATTATCCTCGGGATAACTATTTGAAATTTGAGTATTTGATCGTAATTCAATGTCCATAAAATCTGATTCATTGTCTTCATCTTTTTCATTATTATCATCGTCTTCTTCCTTATTTTCTTTACCTCCTTCATCTTTGTCCCCATAATTTGTATCCTCACCTTGCGCTGATTTTTTAGTGCAATTAATGCCATTAAGACCATTCACTTTCTTTAAAGATGCATTAACATGAAAACTCTCTTTAATATGTTTATCATTCTCAATCGCTTCCTTTTCGTCTTGATCAATTTCCCCGTAAAAACGCTTACTCTTCATTATTAGATTACATTCATCAATGCCAGACATTTCCATCCAGGTTCGACATGCTTCTTGTTCCTTTTCATTTACATACGCCATAAAAACACGAGAAAAATTATCTACAGTAGATGTAATGTTCGGATCAATCAATTTGTTTAATATTTCTTTTTCACGCATTGTTCCTGTTCGAATACACGCCACGATATTATAATATATTTCTTCTGATGCGGTTTTTTCTAGTATTTTATCTTTCTAAATTTAGAGTTTCATGTAAATAAGCAGTATGACTAAGTCTCAATTTTGCTGCTCCCTATAAGCTTAAAACATACCTTAACGGTTGGAAATGCAATTGCAACCTCTTCCTCCTTGTCAGAAAGTGATTTTCCTACATTCTTAGCAGCTTCGTTTTTGTCAGCTTGATCTACACTCACTTGATTAACTTTCATTTTACGAGAATTAAGTTGTTCAAGAAGTGACATTATTGATTTGAATCGGGGAGTATAAAAATTTTAATTTAGTAATAAGAAAAACTAAAGTTTTTTTTTTGGGGGGTACCGTTAAAGCGGTGTAGTGCCCAGCCACGATTGGCGCCATCACAATCATTGGTCAATTTAATTTTAGATCACCAACCAATCGGATTTACTGTGACGTATAAAATCACGAGAATTAATCACATGGCATCAAGCCTCGCTATTGGTCAAAAACTAAACGACAAGACAAGAACGCTTTAATACGTAAGATTCACGATGCGTCAGGATGCTTAAGGATAACAATGGGTAAGAATAATGGATAATAATAAAAAATGTGTAATTATTAAACTTTTATTTTAATAAAGCTTAATCAAAAAAAAGTTTGATTATAAAAATCAAATAGAAGTAAAGTGAATTATTTCTTTTAATTTGTCAAAAAAAAGTTCTCTATTACCTCTTCTCATCACCAAGATATTTTTAATCAGTGAATTTAAACCTGAATATCTAACTTATGAAGAAGATATAATAATTATAATCAAAAAAAAATTGTAATAAAAAAATTATAATAAAATTAAATTATATTAAGCTTACTAAAAATAGGATTTAAAGAAGTTTCTAGCTTAAAAATAAATATTTTTATTTACTTATTATTATCTCTCTCTTCAACTTTCTAATATTTATTACATAATCTTTCAGTTAATTTATTTATTATAAGTTATTAATTTTTTCCTTTTTTTTCTTCTCTAGTTTATTCAGATATTTTTATCATTACAAATTCATAATGATAATATACTTGTTATTTTTCTCAAATAGTTCTTGAAATATTTTTCAAGTATCAATAATTAATAACTTAATAATATTGTATATATATTTATAAAAAATATGTTTATATAGTAATACTGTATATAATGATTATAATAATAATTAAGTAAAATAAATTCTGATATAGAGATGATGTAATAAGTATGTAATACTTATTTATTATCTGTTACAATATGTTGTAACTCTAAAATTTTATAAGTTACAACTAGTTATAACTAAATGATATTTATTTATTATTATATTATAATAGTTGAGAAGTTATTTTTATTTTGATATATTCTTATTTTTTATTAGTTTATTCATCATTATAAAAGTCTTTTTGATAAGTATTTATATTATATAAGAAAGAGAAATTGATAGATTTCTTTAAAAATTTCATTATTAATATCATAGGTAGATATTTTTTTTTTAGAAATTAAAGATAATACTTTTAGAATCAGCTTACTTCTTGTGATCAAGAATAATAATTTTATAAAAAATATCTAAAATAAAAATCAAGCACAAATTAGTAATCAAAAAGAAGAAAATAATATATTATATTAGAAGGAATAATCTAAATAGAACATCTTGTTCTAGAAACTACTCCAAAAAATTACATAATTTTCGACCTTGTACTATATGATACGTGATCCAAGTTATACAAATTGTTATATAGATTGTTATATCTAGTAGAACTATATGATACTTATACTATACAATATATTACACAAATATCTTATATATTACATGAATAAAATATATGAATAATCCATCAAGAATAATCAAAAAATATGAAATCAATCCAATTTTATTACTGATAAATCAATAAGAATTCAAAACAAGCACGTGATATAAACAGATAACTTTATTTTGGTCACATATTTGTTTTGGATTCTTATTGACTATAAATCATAATAACATGATCTGGTCACATTCTGTGTAATTAATTTTGTGTAACTGATATAATTATTACTTTTTTAAATTTTTTTTTCATGTAACTGTGGCTTTTCTTGTGTAATAATTGTATTTTCTGAAGGTTTTTTGCTTATAATAGATGATAACAAGACTTAACAAGGCTGAAAAAGATCAGTTTTATTGAAGATGATAGCTAAACTTCATATACAAGGTATAAATTATGAGTTTCAAGTGTCAAAAAAGTAATATATTATAGCAAAACTAACTTTTCAAACAAAAACTACTCAAGATAGGAATTCCTTTGCTATATCCATCAATATTCTGGTTCATGATATACTAATTTTTTCTCTAAGTAATGCATAACTATCTTCATATTAAAGTCTAAAACTAATAGATACAAACTAAAGAGCATCTGAACAAGTATCTATAAATAGTAGTAAGAAATGCATGTGTTAATATCCTAAAAAGTTTTCTATTTCTAATATAGAATCTACTCTTAATATAGAGTCTATTCCTAATCAAGCATCTCATAATAACGTGAATAAAGATATTCTTTAGTTTTATTAGTAAATCTTATCTTTTTTATAATATTATAATGCTTTCTTAACATAGAACAAGAAGTGTTCAAATTGAGCTATCAAGTTTCTTAGAACTTTGAAAATGAAGGTGAGATTACATATTAGAATAAGTGTGACAGATTACTTACTTACTTTATCTATTTCTATCTATAGACATATCAAATCTCTGTGTTGATTATATCTTTCAATCATGAGAAAAAGCTAATAGTCTTATAAAAAATTATAGTAAGCAGAGAGAATTTGGTGTTGCCCGAAAAAGATTGGAGCTATATTCAGAAGATTACATTAAATATCACAGTTACAGATATGAATTCAGTGGTCAATATTAATAAAAAAAAAGTTAATATTCATAACCATCATAATCACAAGTCAAAATATCAAGAATACGAATAGCATACCAATATTAACTCATCAAGAAATATCTCACTCATAATTCTCATGATCTTTGCTAATATACACAATCACTCACTATATTCTAATACTTAATCCTATACTCTAATATATCAAAGGATTTCTGAAAATGTTCTTGATAAAATTCAGTTTCTTACTGAAAATAGAAACTTATCAATCAGTACTCAGAAAAGACTATTAAAGACAAAATTTCCAAATAAGACTATTCTTAACTGTGATCTTTCAAACATGATGCAAAGATTCAAAATTTATATTAATAAAAAGTTGGATATATTACATTTACTAATGATATTTCTTGAATGCAAATCATATAATCATTAATGGGTTATTAAATTTGAGCTGGACAATGAAAGTTAACTTATCTGCTTATTTTGGATGTTACCAGAGCAGATTATTTTTTGGTTAGAGTATTATGATGTCATTTTAAATGATAACACTGCCAAAACCAACTGGTATCAAATACTACTTTTACTTTTTCTTGCTGTGAACAATAATACTAGATCACATCTTGTGGTTCAAGCTCTCATGTCAGATGAAATAATAGAGTCCTATAAATGAATTCTGGATTACATAAAAAAAGTAACAAAGATCGAGCTGTTAGTATTCATTATAGATGTGGATCCTATAGCAGATACCACCATCAGACAAACATATAAAAATACTTATTTGGTTTATTGTATTTTTTATATTAGCGAAAACCTATCCAGAAACCTCAAAGCCAAGCTTCATAACCAATATGAAAGCTTTGTTCATAACTTTTTCCTATGTCACAACAGTCTGTATGAAGAAAGTTTTTATGAATAATGGTCATAACTTATCAAAAAGTACTCTAACGTCAAAGATTACCTGATGAGAATACTTTATTCTAGCTGACAAGTATAGGCATGCATATTTACATCAAAAATATTCACAGTCAGAATTCAAACTACCTCTTGTATCGAAGGTCTTAATAATATTATCAAATACTTATTAATATCAAGCAGCAGTCTGTATGATCTTGTTGATGTACTAGATATAAGGCTCCAAGATGAGGTATAGTGGAATTAGTTTTTTGAATACAAGACTATATCATCTTGTATGAGAATTATATCAGTGGATCATGATCTCTTTCCTGAAATCGACAAACAAATATCTGAACATCTCATCCCTCACATATTGTCTATGGAATATCTGGAAATAGTGTAATATCTATATTTTGTCACAAGTCAAATAGATATTACGAATAATAATAATGAGGTAAATTAAATCAAGGATAAACTTTTCAAAATTATTAGGATAATCTAATATTTTATTATATTTAGGATTTCAATCTTGATGTAACAGATGGATTCATTGAGAATTCATATAATGCCAAGCAAATTCTATTGAAATTAATAATTGCTAAAGTTGATGAAGAAAATATTCAAGAACTATAGAAAATTGAAGATATGTAATCTGAAAATAACAAATACTCATATTTTATGGTAGTTGTTGATTCTATTTCTTATTTGTATTTATGTATATCTAACATATCTCACAGCATTATCTGTTATCATTATTTCTAGATGATGATGCATTCAAGAGTTATAGAGTTTTATATTCAAATGATACCTGTCTGATGGTATAATGATGAATAAAAAGATAAAGAAATTGTGAATGATTACTATTTCGCAAATTAAGAATTGGCAAAAAATCAACCAAATAAAATACTAATATCAAATCTGTTGATTATATCTAAGTTTGTGATATGTATTTTATATTATGTGATATAATGAAAAGTCAAATATAGAAAGGTGTGGAGATTGGTATGACACGCAATCCAATTTACTATTAAATATGATGATCATAGTGAAATAATGGTATGGTTAAAAAAATTCATTAGCCAGCATAAAGAAATAGCAGATATACTTATTGGATCAGTGCAAAACTGGAATCTTTAAGAATCTCTCACTAATAATAAAAACAAGAAGAATGAACCTGGATCAATTGAAAATCCATTAATATCATGATGAAAGGGACATCCTGAAACCAAGCATTATAAATCCACAACCAAAAAAAAGAAAAAATCACATATATACACCTATGATGCATGCAGACAAACAGGATATAATAGCGTGATATATCAAAATTGTTAGGTATTTATCTATTTTTTTATTTATTTGTTCTCTTTATTTAACTACATAACTCACTATTTAATTTACAAGTTATACATTCAGATCATTATAATTATTTAATCCCTAACTCCTAACCCTAAAACTCAACTAATAGAATTTAAAATAAACACATGATTATCATGTTATGTATCATAATCAATCAAATAAAAAT